GTTCAAAAAATGTGTAGATGTAGCACTTCAGGACATGGTTTAGCAGGCATGGTGGTGTTGGGTGGATAGTTGGACTTGATGATCTTAGAGATCTTTTCCAACCTATGATTCTATGATTCTGTGGTGTGCTGATACACTATGGTCTGAATTTTTTTTTGGGAAGTCTTAGTATCTAATCTCCAAGTAAGCTTTAACGATGCTTTAATGAAAATTTTAGTGTGGTTGGATGTGCTAAAGCCGACATAATATTGGTAACAGAATCCCAGAATGGCTGAGGGACCTCTGGAGGTGACCCCCAACGCCCTGCTGAAGCAGGGACAGCAAGAGCCGGCTGCCCAGGACTGTGTCCAGGCACCTTCTGAATTACCTCCCAAGGGTGAAGACTCCATGGCCTTTCCGAGCAACCTCTGCCAGTGCTTGGTCACCCTCACAGTAAAAAAAAATAGAAAAAAACCCCTAAAACAGAAAAAGCTGCCCCTGCCTCCCTTTCAATTACACTGAAAATCTGCTAAAGGAGGGGGCCTCACCTGGGCCTCAAGGTAAACTGAGGTAGTGGAGGCTCTGCTGGGGAGCCCTGCTCCTCACACAGGCCCCTGATTGCCAATCCTGAATCAATTCCCATTTATCTAACAGTGAAGGTAATAATAACTACCAAACAAATTTTCATAGAGGTGCTGAAATGGCTGAAGTTTAAGTAAAGTCTGCTGTAAACAGTTACCAGAAACTGAACATGTCAGACTAGTTTGTGCACATTTTACTCTAGTAAACTTCCTTTGTGGTGCTTTGGTCCATTTGATTAAAAAATTACAAAACTTTGAATGGAAAACAATGAGCAAGTTTAATATTTTTCTTTTTTTTTTTTGCCTGATACATGCTTACACCACCCAATCACTTAGGTAAGGAAAAAACCCAGTAAGCCTGGTACTTTTCAAATAATTTTTATTAACAACAATATGGATTCAGCTTTGTCAAGAAGTTACAATTAACGTTGTAATGTCATTGCAGTGTCAGTGGAAGCAGCCTTCGTGCTTTCTAAGCCTGGTAGGAAACAGGCTTTTTATCTTTCAAAGAAGTAGAAAATGCTTCCAAGTGCAGATGGTATTGGATATGTCTGGAATTGTCCGTGTGGGCACAGCTGAATGAATGGCCATATTTGCATCCAGATGTATGAACAGGAAAATATTACATGCTTCCACTGACGCTGCAGGGGACAGTTCTTATTTCAAAAACCAATTAACCTTTTTAGACAGTGACAGCACTTTGAGTGATGTTGTAATCCATTTAAATTAAGTCGATTAACACACTTGAAAAAAAATGTGAAGCAGAAATATCTGGGGCAAATTCTTTTCTGACCTGTATTTCATTCAAACCTAGTGAATCCAAAAGGATTGCATGACATAAGAGTCAGGATAAAAGTTGGCCCAGAGAGGCAAGTTCATTCCTGGTGCAGGTGGGTTCAGTTCCTTTAAGATCAGTGGAACCGAGCCTGATTATCCCAGTGGAGGCTGAACTTCACCCGGCTGGGCAGTGAATTCATTGAAGTCAGTGAAGCCATCCAAGGATGAATTTAGCCTCAGGTGTTTAAACCCTTTTTTCATTGCTTTGCTGTTATATTTTCTTTTCCTGCTTACTCCTCCTTTCTGGTTATTCTCCTTTTCTCTGTGCTTTTTATAAACGTCCCTTCTCTTCTTCCCTTTTTACATCAATACTTTGTGCGTTATTTTTTATATAGTCAATGTGACATGGGTAAATTCAGCTAAGTATTAGTTTCCTCAGGAAATAACTGGAATATTACCATTTTCACTTTAAACAGATGCCCAACAAAATAAGGATTTGAATCTGAGCTCCCTATTCAAGCAAAACTATTGAATTCCACAGAATGAATGAATTACATAGAATTTTTGCTTGAGTAAGGATTGCAGGTCCCAATCCAGAAATAGTACTGTACATCAGATGTTCTACTATACATCAGTAATTCAGTATGACTTGACTTATCACAGAAGAGCAGGTGAATTACTCATCACCGTACTATAATGAGAGCAGTCACTCTAAGTAGGATTATCTCAAAAACATATGGAACAACCGTGGGCACTGTGAATAAAAGTGTATGATCTTTGCAATCTTGAACCCTAGGCTAAAACACTATATTCATATTTAAATAAAAAGTATAGATAATATAAGCCAGGAGCAAATACAAATTTTTAAACAAATAATAATCATCAAAACTATTCTTTTCAGTTCTCTCTTCAGTCAGGTACAACAAGCATGCTGATCAGAAAACAGTTATTTGGATAAGGCTTAATTCCTGAAGCTCTTACTTAAGTTCAAATTGTCTCTTCAACAATCCTCAAGTGGATTGTAAATCAGAAAAAAACATTGTCCTTTGTCCCTACTCATGAACAATTCTTATTAGCTGTCATGAGGTGGACTTTAATAAGCAGCTCAGGAGAAGACTTGAAAAGCCAGACAGCTCCTTCTTTCGTGAAACCAGTGAATCACTGTCAGTCATGACGCTGTCTTGTAAAGAGAGAGCATAGAAACATGAGGAAATATGAGTAAAGCTTATAAAAATCCAAACAAACAATTCTTCCTCTCCAGAATTTCATATATTCACTGCTTTTCCTATTTTCTATCAATATTATGTTAAAAAATTCCTATATGATAAGACTTGCAGCTACAAAAATAATAATGGTGAGCATAAAAGAAAAAAAATTAGGATTTTAAACCATAATTTGAATCGATACGGTCTTCTGGATTTATTAGTACTTTGTAAAGACATTAACATTCTCATACATAATTTATAGAATGCATTCTTTTGTGCACAAAATTGTATTAAATAAATTAACTTATAATTAGAAGGACTCAAGCATGTCATTTAAGGCAAAAATACCAAGTTTCCGTGAGATAAATTATCAGCAAAACCCAAGGCCCTGTCTCCGTGCGGGACCAGCACAGGCAGGGCCAAGGCTCGGTTCTCCCACTGGCGCCTTCCGGGCTCGGTGGGGGTGCGACCATCTGCTCGTGCAGACGGAGGTGGAAGAGTGGAGTCCAATTCACGATGCCTTGATTTTTCGATCTCGTTAAGGAGGGGAGGGGAGTTTCATTACTGACAGACAGTTGCCATGTGCCCTATCTCTTGCTCCCTTAACTGAACCTGAGCGCAGGTTTATGCTTAGGCCAGCAGGACCCTTTGTATGAAAGGTGAGAAAGGCACCATAAACCGTTAGGAAAAAGAAAGAAAAGCCTAAAAAAAAACCCTGTAAGTTTTAAAATTTTGGATAGGACTTTAAACTCACAGATCTGTCTGGATGAACTGCAGACATTCAAATAAGTTAAATGAACTGAGATGTCGAAAAAAACCTATTTATCCTCACAAAATTACTGTTGTAATCAGACTGCACATAAAAGAAAACGGGAAAGACTGAATGTGATAAATTATATGGCAAATGAGTGGTAAGGAAATTGTGCTTCAAGGTGTCTTTCAGGGTTTAACAGCTGAAGTTTGCTCCGGCGTAAGCCATGGAACACAGTGTACCATCCGTGGACCCCGTGTAGCGACACTATATATACACTCTACAGTTTGCATGTACTTTCACGTAGTAAGATTATCATGTAACATCCAGGAATACTTCTGTAAAGGAAATATGGAAGCAGAAATTACAATGATTTCATAGTAAACAGATCAAGTCCTTCACAATACAATCTACAGCATTTAGCCATGGTTAAGACTGAAGTGACGTTTTCGACGTAGATAGTAAGTTCCCAGCAGGTCTGAGCCTTGAGAAAACACTGCCCTGAGTGAGCTGGCGCTGGCACCCCCGTAGGTTCGGTGTTCCTGCTGCTAGAGGGAAGCTGAGCCCGAGTCAGGTTGTCTACAAGCCTGCAGCGCAGGCGAGGTGTGGATCTGGGGCGAGGCAACGCACGGAAACCTCGTTCAGCTGGGAAGAGCGAAAGCCTGTCCAGGCTCCGCAGGGGTTCTCCCAGGGGCGAAGCCTTGCTGGGGACGTGCAGGTAGGCACTGACACCGCTCCTGCGTCTCAGCGCTTCTGAAAACTAGGGTATTAGGAGGAAGGAGTCTGAAGGTCCTTGCCTCAGAAAGTTCACAAGACATGACTGCTGTTGGGACACAGTGTTGAGCTATGAGAGTGTGACCACTTTCTCCTCTCTCCTCCTCCCCTTTTACTTAAAAAGCAAACAAACAAAACCAACCAAAAGAAAAAAACCTCTTGCCTTCATATATTTTTTTTTTCAGTTAAGGTGGTCTTCTCTATTTCTGTTTCCATTGCTGATTGCCTACATGGCTTTTCTCTTGGAAATAGCACTCAGTGTCTGTGACTGACAGGCCAGATTTAAAAAAAAACAACTCTTTTTGCCTCTACCTTCCTTCTGTTGTTTTCTGGGATCATTTCCCTTTCTGCCCATCTAAATCCATATTCTTTTTTTCTCCATTGATTGTGTTGTTTTTCTCTTCTCCCTGTTCTATCCTCTGTAGTTTTACTCAGTATTTCAGTTCCTCATTTTGCCTCCTTTCCCAGCCTTATGAAGTTCTGTCGTGGTATCAGGTTGGGACTGTGAGGAAAACTGCCAGAATTTCCACAGAAGGAACTATCGCTTCTACAACAAAGGCAGCGCCTGCTTCCTTCCCTCACCTACTGCTGCCAGAATGTTTCAGATTCACAGGGTAGCTCCTCAGTGAGACTGGAAGAAGGAGAGATTCCCCTGAATTTTTAGTGCAGTCACCCAGGTTATCTACTTCTGAGGCCACCCCCAATCCTTAAAATATGAACTTTTCATAGCAAAATCATGTTCTTATTGTAAAGAACAATGTGGTAGTGGCGTGTCAGGTATTTTTGCCACAGCACTAAATCACCAAAAATCAGATATATATTAACGTACTGCTTTTCACAGTTAAAAATAACTGATTACTGATGAGCTAATGTGTGTATCTTGCAACTGGCAGCCATTTCTAATCCCATATTACTGGTTTCCTTGGTACCTTGCTAGCAGCTGTAGAGAATTTTTTTGTTGTAAACATAAACTATCATCTAAATCAGGACATTATACATATATATTTAATTCGTTCAGAAGCAAAGTGCTTTAAACCTTGTGAATTTTTACTTCTGCCCTGTAGAAACGGCACTAGGTCTAAATGCTCAAATTTTTGCTTTTTGATACATCCTGCAGCATTAGCTTTGTAGGCAACTCGTCATTTAAACCTACTGTACTACATGAAAGGCTGCCGTACTGTAGGCGTAAATTTGAATGTTAGCCTTCACTTAAGCATGCATTTTCATGCAACTAGGAGATATGGGCTCATTCAACTGCTTCTCAGATTCATCCTGATTTTCGTGATTTTATCTTGTTAAAAAGGCTTTCAAAACAGTTCATGCTATGATATGTACGACTAGAGGAATGACCCAGCCAATGAAGAAAGCCCACAAGCTGTTATTTAAGTTTGACGTGGAGCAGATTGAGTGCTTCTGTACCATCCCCTGGCTTGCAAATGCTTTGAGATGATCTTGATATTCCAGTCCTTAGAGAGTCAGCAGAGAGAGTTGTTTCCACTAATGGGCGCGAGATGGCTTCAGTAGTCTCTGTTCCTGCCTCTGTCTCCAACTCTTCATCAGTTATAAATAATTTTGACTCCCTCCATTTGGAGTATACATCTTGGCTACCTCTGGAACCACTGGAGTCACTGCCAGCAATCTGTACATTCAGTTCTTCTGTTGATTGTATAAGGTTTTGTACAGATAAAGATTTTCCTAAATCCATTTGCACCACAGGTTTAACTGAGAGCAAAGGTTCCCCTTCTGCATCCAGGCTTTTTCTCCATGTGAGATCCTTTGCCGCGCTGGGCTGTGCAACTTGTCCATTATCCTTTGACGCAACAAGGCAAGCGGTGACATCGGAAATGTTTTCTTGTGTGGTTACAGGAATGATATGAACGGGCTCAGGCCTATTGATATGCTTCATTGATGAGAAAGGTGGTATTTGTAATGTTGTTGGGGTTGCTGGCTTAGTTGCCTGGTTTATTTGGTTTGATGTATTACTAATTGTTGCAGGTCCATCGTTTGGCACTTGCGTTGCTTGACTATGCATAGCTGGACTGAAAGCATAGTAAGCCTGAGTGCTGAATTCATTTGGTGTCAGTATAAGCTGTAGGCCACGAGGCAGATTGGCACTAGCTGATCTAGATACACATCCACTGATTTGTGCAGAATTGGACAAATCTTTGCTGTCTGATGGGCTCTGGTAATCAGAAGTCTGCTCACACTCAAAAGCTGGCATTTGAAGTGAAGCCAAAGTGAGCGCGGATGCAGATCCTTTCCGCAAAACTTGTTGATAAATATCTAATAGACAGTCCAGTTTTGACTCAATGGATTGTACCTGCAGGAGGAGAGGAAAAGGTTAACATTAATGCCAAACACTAATTTAAAATATTTGGAATCTAAGCAAAGGGAAAATGTGACTGCTGAAGAGAAAAATGGGAGGAGCTTGGTGTAAGTTACTGACCCTTGGAAAAAAATGTCAAAAGCCATGTAGATTTTTCATAAGCAAGATGATAAAAGGGAAGAAAATTTAGTAACCTGCAATTTCTCCTTCCTTACTTTTTGGTGCGTGGAAGACAGTTAAGGTAATGCGATTCATATCAATTTTATTTCAACATGTAAATGAAGCAGGTATTAGAAAAAAAGAAATTACCTGTTCAACCTTTGAAACTGGCAATAAAATACACAAAAGGCACGAGCAATAGAGCAAAACAAAGCGACACAGATAATCACTCTACCTGTTTCTCCACCTTGACTACGCGCCCTAACATACTGAGGTCATCAGCTGTCTCATTCTCTGCAGGATTCTTTTCTCTGCTTCTTTTATCTGCTGTGATTTGTCCTTTCCCCAGAATTTGGTCAACGCTGTAAGAGAAATCACAACGCTGCTGTGAGAATTTGGTCAATGCTGTAAGAGAAATCACAACACTGCTGGGATTCCTGAAAACGGTGACGATATGGAAGAGCTTGCTAATCTGTATGTTAAAGATTAAAATCATAGGACTTCAGAAAAGCACCTGAGAAAGAAGTTAACCTAATTTTATTGAAAAATTAAGAAAAAACCATGAATGCTATTTGAGTATTTGGAGATTAGCTTGGAGACAGCTTTTCTTTTCCTACGGCACTAAGCGGTGGCCAGAACTTCACCATCATCTGGGAGAGCCAGGGCTAGACTTGCTGAGGGGGCAAGAGAGGACGTGGCCTCTCCAGCAGCCTGATGTTGGGGGGGTAGAGATGTACCAGTGCCACCCTCAGCTCTCCTGTCCTACCAGCAGCATCGAGTCCTGGGAAAGCTGTCAGTTTGAATCAGGAATCTCAGCCCTGGTGCTGGTAATGATACACATGATGCAATATTGCTTTTTTTTTCTGTTTAAATTATTATTGCTGGGAATTTAGAACATAAAAACTACATAAATACTACATTACCAGTAGTTCCCAATTTCTTTTACGTGAAAAGAGAAAGTCTGGGATAGGAGAAAGGCAGTTCTCTATGTTGACCTTATCCATTTGGCAACCTCCTGACTAAATTCCTTGTTTATGAGTGGATGTTACAGATAAAGGATTACCTTGTCTATTGTTCAGACTTCCATTTTCTGGGGACAATTTAGATACATGATTTTTGTTTTTTTTCACCCACAATGTAATTTCTGGCTCAGCTGTGTTCACAGAAAGAGAGGCTGGGCTGAAACACGAATGGCAATTTGTACCCAAATATAACACAGGAATGTTAAGTGTTACCAACATTCATTATGCAGTGAATAACATAAGAAGATGCAGAAATTAGTCTTTCCTTACCGTGACTGAAGGCTCTTAATTCTGCATAACATGTCTAGATGACCTGCTGAATACTGTTCAATGACATCTTTGACGTCATATGGACGAAGTGTTTCCTTAAACTTTCTCTTTGCAACATGAAATTTCATAATTCTGTGGGGAAAAAGCATTTCACAGATAAATCATCTTCAACAGTTGTGAAACAAAACAGTATATTCCACTGCAAAATTTGACAGCTAATCTTTAAATGAAAGATATATTCAACACAGCTTGTGCAAGTGAACTGTTCCCTTTACAAAATTGTTTCTATAATTACAATTGTGTAAGTACAAATGCGATGTAGCTATCGCTTTGAATTGTTACGTAAGAGAGATCAGGTAACACTATTTTAAAGTGTGCAGAGCATGTTTGGTTTGTCAGTATACACCTATTTGGCTTTCTTATGCTAGGTGCCTGAATGCGAAGGTGCTGAAGTACATTCTTAACTTAAACCTGGGATTAGACCACTGACTTAGCCGAGATATCCCATAAGCTACATTCATGCAGAAGTTAGAGGAAAGATTTCTCTAACAAATCGATTGCACAAGCATAAATAATAGTGTCCTTTTCCTGGTGCTCATTGTAAATTTTTTGATTTCCATTTTGTAAAAAGTTAAAATTTATGCACCCAATTATTTTTCATCAATTTTTGCGTTTAATTCACATTCTGGCCTAAATATTTGGTTTTAATTTATTTTGCTAACTGAAGATCAGACTTTGCAGGCAGTTTTCATGTTTGTTTCATATGGATATCTATGGGAATTATTGTTTAATTAACATTGGTATTTTTTTTCCTTGAATTTTACTGCAGAATACTAAGTATCAGATAGCGGTAAATATCCAAAATTGATGACTGGCATATGTAGCTCTTAGAATGAAAAACTTGATATTAATTTGCAAATTTTAAAGAATAGAAATGACAGATTTGGAAAGTCAATGACAGTGAGCCAATTTTCCAGGTCAGCTGCTAAAGCCTGCAGTTCTCCTTGGTTTACATGAGAACTGCGGAAGAGAGAACCGTGCAAGAGCTGGGAGAGACGCCGAGGAATTGGGTGTGTTGACCATTCTGGTCTGCGTTACAGAGTTTATGAATCCCCATTAGGGTCAAACTGCTAGTATTTGCTATCTATTGGAATTAAAAAAGCAGAGCAGTAAATTGGTATCCTATTCCAAATCCCAATATTTCATGCTAATATGTTATTCTGTCTGTGTTTAATATGGTATGTATTTAGCAGCTGTAAGATGATGAATTATAATCAAAGACAATACATGGCTCTCACTGTGATAAAAATAGATTAGTAGTGTTTTAGTGGAATTTAGGAAAACTATACTTTTCATAGTTAGGACAGACATTGTGATAATATGTAGAGTCAGACTAATAGTATATAGTGATCCTTTGCTGTTTTCTGTATTAAGCATAAATGCTCTTCCAAATAGTATCAGCCTTTTTGCACAGTGCTCAGGTTGTTGCCATTTCCCATTCTGATAACTTCCAGTTAAAAATCAGGTTGCTTGTCACTGGTATAGAGCTTGCAGTATGGTCCTGGTTATAGAAATTAAAAATGGAAAAGGCCTGTTAGGAGTAGTCCATCATCTTGACAGTTCAGGACTGATCTCCATGAGGTTTAAAATACGTCAGATGATGCACTTTCCTCTTTTCCATTGTCAGCCAGTTCTACAGAGTAATGACTTTCGGCGTCTTTTGTAATCTGAAGGCCTCTGAAGCTGGGATGTAGATTTTTTTTTTCTTTTAGCTGTCAAACGATGCCAGGATGTTCTGTTCATAATAGTGTGGAAGTGCAGACAGTCTCCTGGCATCTAGTTCTTTATTCAGGCTACAAAGAATAAATGATGTAGCTGACATACAAGAAAGTATCGTTCTTTTGTTATTACTCTGTTTTGGTGGTCACAATTTTTTACTTCACACTTTTGATAAAGTAAAAATATGAAACTCTCTTAGAAAAGCAGAGCCAGAGGATTAATAGCATAATTGAAAACAACTGAATTTACCACAACTGGGTGATTTTACAAGAGAAGAGACAGAAGACTAATTTTTATTAACAGCCATAGAAGCTTCTTAATCAGTATGCACAGAAGTCTTCATTACTGCTTTGCAACTTTGTAACATTTTTTTTGGTGATCAAGGCAGTTTGTTCATTCTGTTCAGAAGTCAAACACAGGACCAAAAGCATCACAGCTGTATCAGTGAGGTGTAGCTGTAGTATTTCTGGTTTAGGTATTAGCTTGTGTGATGCCATCTTAATTAACTTCAGCAGGGTTTGGAACAGACCCATACTGCTGACTTTGTTTTGCTTCGAATATACACAATTTTACAAAAACTGTGCAAAAAAATAAGGGGTTATAAAAGACTGGCATTTTAAAACCCTGAAAATGAATTAAGAAGCAGAAAACCTGAGTCCTTTCAGGGATGGACCCTAGCGACTGCTTTGCAGTTACGAAATTTAGTTGATTTCTCCATAGTTCTTTACTGTGAATTTTAAAAATTCAATTCGCTTTCTAAGTCTTGAAAACACTATGTAATTGAACTTGATAGGCTTCAACATCCATCCTGAAAGATTATTACAACTGTATAGAGCATATTCAAAAATAGCGAAGAAAAAAGCCTTTGAGCTTCCTTCATTCGTGCTTCTAGAATAAAAAAAATTGCCTATTCTGGTGTGATAAAAACGAAGGGTTGGGTGAGGTGGATAACCTACCCGTAGGCAGAAGGGAGAGCGAGCACAAAGGGATTGACACCCCGGGTATCTGAAGCACCAGCCCTTGGCACAAACCGGAGGAGCAGAGCAACCGGAGAAACAGAGCCCACGAACTACGGCTGGGTCTGTCATTTCTGGGTAGACCAGAAGGGGGCGAGCAAGGCTCGTCGGAAACTGGCGGGAGTCGCCGCTGGCAGCACCCGGCTGCTGGGGCTGACCGAAGAGAGGTAACTGAAAGCAAGAATTAACCCCAAAGAACAAAGCATGTGGTCGCCACGATTTTTTAAAAGCATTATTCGTGTTTTTAAATCGCCGTGTGCCGTGTAGCGAGGTGGTATTTTGTGACTCGAATCTAATGCGATAGGCGATGCACGGCTGTGAACCTATCCGAGTCGCAAAGAGCGGTAACTGAAAGCAAGAATTAACCCCAAAGAACAAAGCATGTGGTCGCCACGATTTTTTAAAAGCATTATTCGTGTTTTTAAATCGCCGTGTGCCGTGTAGCGAGGTGGTATTTTGTGACTCGAATCTAATGCGATAGGCGATGCACGGCTGTGAACCTATCCGAGTCGCAAGAGTGACAATTTTCTTGTGAGAGGTAGCCAGAAAAAGTAGCTCTTTTCAATGATGCATCCAGAGAGAGGCAGAAGAAAAGAATTAGAGCAGTGTATCAAAGTGCTTTGTCTATAGTTAACGTCTAAACCACAGGCCCCACGAAGTCTTTACATGCCCTGGTAGTTTGTGGGAATTTACAAATCCAATACCGACTTTTGTCTTATTGACCCTTATCAGCCAAAAGCAGCACCCATTGCATTTCACTGCTGTCCAATGCAGGATCAGCACTGATCTAGAATGACAGTGTTTTCTGAACCTGCAGGTTGTGTAACTTTCCTGGTATTTGTTGCTTTTTATTTTTCATTCATATTGCCCCTTCCAGTATCAAAAGCTATTCTGCTTGTCACTAGCATGCTTTACTGAGATGGCACTGAGTCAGAACATCTCTAATCCTCCGTGCAGCCCTGTCGTACTCGTGTTATTTTTTTAAATCTGTATCTTGTCAGTCTTGTCACTGTCTCAGGAAGAAAAGGAGCTTCATTCTGCTGGAATTCAGGTAAACTCAGCCAGGGTTCCTGCCTTAAAGGTTAAAAGGCGGGTAGGTTGTTTTGGCCGTAACTAGGTGAGGTGCCCACAGATTGTTTGCTCACTTACTACATCAGGAAAGCAGGTGCACACAGATTTAGCTGTGCTGGTTCCTTCATCCCTCTACTCCTAGCCTACCAAATAACCCTTCTTCCTGACAAACTGCGACGTGCAGAAGAGATCAGGACACGATATAGAGAGGCCAAGACACAAAGGTGGTTGAGAGACAGTCCCACTATGGGTGGGCGAGTGGGTCCATATTGCCTCCTCTCAGGTCGTGACCTAGACCACCCCATCCCCTAGGAGCCAGAGACGTCGTTCTCTCCCAAGCACAGTGCTGTCACAGCCAAAGACTCATCTTAGGAGGCTTGCCTAGACTCTGCAGACCATCTGGGCAGAAAACTGTACAATGTGTTGGGATTTAAAAGAAATACAGGAGTCTACCTTGACTTCAGCAAGGCTTTCGATACAGTCTCCCATGATATCCTTCTAGGGAAGCTGAGGAAGTGTGGGCTGGATGAGTGGTCGGTGAAGTGGATCGAGAACTGACTGAATGGCAGAACTCAGAGGGTTGTCATCAGCGGCGCTGAGTCTAGTTGGAGGCTGGTAACTAGTGGTGTCCCTCAGGGGTCAGTACTGGGCCCAGTCTTGTTTAACTTCTTCATCAACGACCTGGATGAAGAGTTAGAATGTACCCTCAGCAAGTTTGCTGATGACACCAAACTGGGAGGTGTGGTAGACACACCGGAAGGTTGTGCTGCCATTCATCGAGACCTGGACAGGCTGGAAAGTTGGGCAGAGAGGAACCTGACGAGGTTCAACAAAGGCAAATGCAGGGTCCTGCACCTGGCGAGGAACAACCCCATGCACCAGTACAGGCTTGGGGGGGACCTGCTGGAGAGCAGCTCTGTGGAGAGGGACCTGGG